TGGCCCTTCTCTCCTTTCCACTAAGGCCCAATACTTCCCCCGACGAATTCCCATAACTGTCCGGTACTCTGAAAAATACCCGAACCACTCAGAACCTTTTCGATGTCCGAATATAGCCTTCCAATATATCGATCTTTACGTCTCGACCATTGTGAGACTCCCCGTCATGTCCGTGATCTCATCCGGGACTCCGAACAAACTTTGGTCATCAAATCACATAACTCATAATACAAATCATCATCGAACGTTAAGTGTGCGGACCCTACGGGTTCGAGAACTATGTGGACATGACCGAGACACATCTGTGGTCAATAATCAATAGCGGAACCTGGATGCTCATATTGGATCCTACATATTCTACGAAGAACTTTATCGGCCAAACCGCACAACAATATATGTTGTTCCCTTTGTCATCGGTATGTTACTTGCCCGAGATTCAATCGTTGGTATCATCATACCTAGTTCAATCTCATTACCGGCAAGTCTCTTTACTCATTCCGTAATGCATCATCCTACAACTAACTCATTAGTCACATTGCTTGCAAGGCATATAGTGATGTGCATTACCGAGAGGGCCCAGAGATACCTCTCCGACAATCAGAGTGACCAATCCTAATCTCGATCTATGCCAACTCAACAATCACCATCGGAGAAACCTATAGAGAATCTTTATAATCACCCAGTTATGTTGTGACGTTTGATAGCACACTAAGTGTTCCCCCGGTATTCCGGAGTTGCATAATCTCATAGTCATAGGAACATGTATATATAAGTCATGAAAAAAGAAATAGCAATAAACTAAATGATCATAGTGTTAAGCTAACAGATGGGTCTTGTCCATCACATCATTCTCTAATGATGTGATCCCACATGTCTATGGCTAGGAAACTTAACCATCTTTGATTAACGAGCTAGTCAAGTATAGGCATACTAGGGGCACTCTGTTTGTCTGTGTATTCACACATGTACTAAGTTTCCAGTTAATGCAATTTTAGCATGATTAATAAACATTTATCATGATATAAGGAAATATAAATAACAACTTTATTATTGCCTCTAGGGCATATTTCCTTCAGATCGCACTTGTGTATCGCTATTTTCGAGATGTGATGATATTTGTGTTGAATGATGATGATGATGATGATGATGATGATGATGGTATGATGAGACTATTGTATGTCTATGATATGATGAGAATAGTGTATGTTTAGTATGATCCGATGAAACTATTGTATAGAGCCTGTATAAATACAACACAAATATGTAGAGGGGTGCGGATCAGCGAAAGCAGGAACATTAGCAGTAGCGCTGGAAATCACCTAGTAGTAGCGCTGGCTTAGCAGCAGCGCTTCATATGGACAAGCGCTACAGATAGTTATCACTAGCGCTGGTCCAGGCAGCGCTACTGCTAACAATACTTACCAGTAGCGCTGCCCATACCAGCGCTACTGCTACAACTTAGCTGTAGCGCGGTAGCAGTAGCACTGGACCTAGCGCTACTGCTATGCATATTTCAAGCGCTACTACTAGGGTTTTCCCTAGTAGTGGTGGTGCAATTATATACTCCTCCTGTTGTGAGTTACAACACTGTGCAACGCTGTTGCAATCTGAATTAGCAACTTATGTGGAAGGCATCTCCTTAGCCATCTAGTGGTCAGCTTTGCCAATCGTTATCCAGTCAGATTGCCCAGAGCTTATTCAGATGACCACTGATCAGGGAGACAACAGATCAGTATATATGATGATGGTCCATGAGATTAAATCGTCACTTCGTTAGGATAATAGGGAGTTCATATCCAAGCATGTTAGGCGGGAGCAAAACGTTGTTAGCCACTTTTTTTTAGCAAACTATGGTAGAATACAGAAGTGCACTGCAGTGTGGCTTCGGTCTGGACCGGATGAGGTACCTAACCTATATAATGCAGACTTGGCCACCGCTTGATGAATGAATTCTCTTTTTCCTCGCAAAAATTAAGAGTTAGGCAGACGCGAAGCAATGCACATGCGAGTTTTCAAGAATGGAAAATGACATTCTATTCTTTTCCATCCAATATTTTTTTAGCAAGCTAACTTTTCTACGAGTGAGTGCATTTCTTGAGGATGTCAAAAACCAATTCTTCTACAATTTTTAGTCTATCTTTCTAATCATCCTCCACTGATATTCATTGGCAGTCTCTTCTCATTCATAGAATCACAAGAATAGCAGGGGTGTGCTAGCTAGGGTTTACAAGCAAAGCACATTGGGGGAAAGCATCTCTCACATGAACAACCCCACAATCAAGCTCCACGTAATAACATCTCAATTATCCTCTAATATCCCAGCTCACATGTAGGGCTTACAAAAATACCTACACAACCCATTTTTTTCTAGATGACCGCATATCCTCATATATATCCTCTTGATTGATGCATAGGTTGCTGAACACAGCCTCAATTTATAGACCCTTCAGTCATGCTTCCAGTATGCAATTCATGTACATGCATGGATGACATGCATGATGCCCACACACATGAAAATTACTGAAGGAAATATGCCCTAGAGGCAATAATAAAGATATTATTTATTTTCTTATATCATGATAAATGTTTATTATTCATGCTAGAATTGTATTAACCGGAAACATAATACATGTGTGAATACATAGACAAACAAAGTGTCACTAGTATGCCTCTACTTGAATAGCTCGTTAATCAAAGATGGTTATGTTTCCTAACCATGGACAAAGAGTTGTCATTTGATTAACGGGATCACATCAGTAGTTGAATGATCTGATTGACATGACCCATTCCACTAGCTTAGCACCCGATCGTTTAGTATGTTGCTATTGCTTTCTTCATGACTTATACATGTTCCTATGACTATGAGATTATGTAACTCCCGTGTGCCGGAGGAACACTTTGTGTGCAACCAAACGTCACAACGTAACTGGGTGATTATAAAGGTGCTCTACAGGTGTCTCCAAAGGTACATGTTGGGTTGACGTATTTGGAGATTAGGATTTGTCACTCCGATCGTCGGAGAGGTATCTCTGGGCCCTCTCGGTAATGCACATCACTTAAGCCTTGCAAGCATTACAACTAATGAGTTAGTTGCGGGATGATGCATTACGGAACGAGTAAAGAGACTTGCCGGTAACGAGATTGAACTAGGTATTGGATACCGATGATCGAATCTCGGGCATGTAACATACCGATGACAAAGGGAACAACGTATGTTGTTATGCGGTCTGACCGATAAAGATCTTCGTAGAATATGTAGGAGCCAATATAGGCATCCAAGTCCCGCTGTTGGTTATTGACCGGAGACGTGTCTCGGTCATGTCTACATTGTTCTCGAACCGTAGGGTCCGCACGCTTAAAGTTACGATGACAGTTTCATTATGAGTTTATGTATTTTGATGTACCGAAGGTTGTTCGGAGTCCCGGATGTGATCACGGACATGACGAGGAGTCTCGAAATGGTCGAGACACAAAGATTGATATATTGGACGACTATATTCGGACACCGGAAGTGTTCCGGGGAAGTTTCGGATAAAACCGGAGAACCGGGGGGGTTACCGGAACCCCCCGGGGGGTTAATGGGCCTCATGGGCCTAAAGTGGAGAAGAGGAAAGGCAGCCAGGGCAGGCCGCGCGCCCCCTCTCCCCCTAGTCCGAATTGGACAAGGAGGGAGGGGCGGTGCCCCCCCCTTTCCTTCCTCTCCTCTCTCCCTTCCTTCCCCCTCTCCTACTTGGACAAGGAAAGGGAGGGGAGTCCTACTCCCAGTAGGAGTAGGACTCCTCCTGCGCGCCTCCTACTAGGGCCGGCCGCACCCCCTTGGCTCCTTTATATACGGGGGCAAGGGGGCACCCTAGGACACACAAGTTGATCTTCGTGATCGTTCCTTAGCCGTGTGCGGTGCCCCCCTCCACGATATTACACCTCGATCATATTATAGCGGTGCTTAGGCGAAGCCCTACGACAGTTACACATCAAGATAGTCACCACGCTGTCGTGCTGACGAAACTCCTCCCCGAAGCTTTGCTGGATCTGAGCCCGGGGTGCGTCATCGAGCTGTACGTGTGTCAAGAACTCGGAGGTGCCGGAGTAACGGTGCTTGGATCGGTTGGACTGGGAAGACGTACGACTACTTCCTCTACGTTGCGTCAATGTCTCCGCGTCGATCTACAAGGGTACGTAGATCACACTCTCCCCTCTCGTTGCTATGCATCACCATGATCTTGCGTGTGCGTAGGATTTTTTTTGAAATTACTACGTTCCCCAACAATTACATGAATGTACTTTTCATTTTAGTAATCCACAATGCATACACGATGAGCTGCACAAAAGAGCTCATTATGTAGAGAAGATCAAGGGGGTCTTAGCATCATCTAGTTAAATTATAAATATACAAAACATTAGTGTGGGAAACTCTTGCACACTATATATGTCGATTACATTTTACATGTCCTTGTTTATGTAGACAGACTAGAGGATACTCCATACGTTGTTGTGGGAATTGAATGCAATGTATGTCAATGAGATTGAAACATGAATATTTTAAAATAATAATATGAAAGTAATAATAAAAATATACTCTCCCTGTAAAAATATATGGATCTAAAAGGTCTTATATTTTTTTACAGATGGAGTACTATATAATATTTATTTTATATTTATAAAATATTTATTGAACTAAAATAATATGGATATACAAAGACGGAGATGCAAAAGAGAGATAGGGACCATTTTCATTACTGTTTTTTTAGGATAGACCATTTTCATTATTCACTTCGGCAGCTGCAGCCCAGGGACGTCTAAAGGCCGTGCAGTGCAGCCCACGAAGAGAATTCCCGATAGACGACAGCCCAATCACCACACCAACCAGCGACGCGCCCGGCCTCTTCACTCTCCGTCCCCGTTCGCTCGCGCCGCCGCCCGTGAAACCTAGCTCCGCCGCCGGTGGGAGCGCGACTCCAAGCCAGCACCACCGCCCCAAACCCTCCAAACAACAGCCAACAATGGCGGACTCTCCCTCCTTCCGCCGCCACCCGCTCCCCTTCTCGATCGACATCGTCCGCTGGCTCCCGTCCTCCGCCTCCTCCGGACGCCACCTCGCGGCGGCCGTCCACGACCCCTCCGTGCCCGCCTCCTCGCGCCTCAGCCTCCTACCGCTCCACGACCCCGCCTCCCCGCTCGCCTCCCTCCCGCTCCCCTCCCGGCCCACGGCCCTCCGCTGCTCCCCTTCCGTCCTCGCCGCCGCCACCTCCTCCGGCTCCCTCCACCTCCTCCCCTCCTCCTTCGACACCGACTCGGCGGTGTCCGTCCCCGGCGGCGCGGGGTTCCATGTGGGGCCCGTGCGCGGGCTCGACTGCGGCGGCGAGGGGTGGGTGACGGCGGGGGAGGACGGGAGGGTGCACGTGGTGTCGGACGGCGGCGACGGCAGGGTGGTGGCCAGGAGGGTGTGGGATGGGAAGGGCATGTCAGGGTACGGGGCGGCGAGATGGGCCTCGTCGGCGGAGTTCGCCACCGGCGGCGCCGGCTGCGGCGTGCAGTGGTGGGACCGCAGGAAAGGGGACGCCGTGGTGGCGCAGTGCAAGGGCGTCTGGTGAGTGCCGGCTCTTGCACTTTCTGCTGCTTGGTTGATCGCTCGAAAGCGCTCAGTTTCCACCGATTATTCTGAAGTTCAGGGATCTATACTTCACTAGTTCTGTTATTGTCTGGGTATGGTTGGTTGGGAAATTTTATCTCAGTGCCAATGCATTGATACACGGATACTTCATTTCAACCAGATACCTATGTGTTCGTGTTATGGTCTCATGTCAAGATGATTATGTTTGGTAGCAGTTTGATTCAAAATATTATGTAAATGCTTGGAGGCTATTGCTCATTCTTTTTTTCATTTTATTTGTCGATCAGTAGCTACACATAAGCTTGCAGGTGCCAAACTTCATAAGCTGCAGTCATGTCTGCCTATGTTTGAAGCATATTGTACCACTAAGATATTCTCAAATGTGTGTGCTAGCTGGTTCTGGTTCTATTAAATGAGATGTGGAAAGTTTGGACGTCCGAGGATATTCAGACAATTTATGGCTTTTAGGTCCAAGTTTACTCGCGCAAGTCGTGTGGCTTCAGCTGTAGCCTCCCAGCAAATATATAGTTGTACGGTCAAGGTTCTTTCACGTGTTCTAATATGGCACTGATTGTAGTTCTTACAAATTTCAACTGGTGGCTGAACCAATAGTCTACTGTCGATATCTAGTCCACAATTGATACGCACATTCCTCTTTGAACTGTTCCATCTCGACATCAGCTGTTCAAGATCATATCTGCTAACCTGTGATAAAATTTAAGAACTCAGAAATGATCATTGTCTTTGCGCTGTTAAACTTCATTTCATTGAGTTTTCATCATCCCGACTGCACCATGTAGTGCTATTTATGCTGACTTGATGAACTGTGATTTTTTAGGGGTCGTGGTGTCGCCACCGGCATGGTGCATTCCATTGATATACATCCATCAAGAAAGCATGTCTGTGTGGTATGGTCAACATCTCTCTTTACATGAACTGGCAAATGGCAAATGAATGTTCACTTCAGTTTACGCGTGGTAGTTAAATAAATCATCATTTTTACAATTTCCTATGAAATTTGTTAGCCTCGTGTTGACCATAAAACATAACCTCCATTCTTGTACATGAGGATATCCTCGTCGTATATGCCTAGGTGTCTGGACCGGATAGGAGTACCTGCAAGAATCGTTGTTTTACACCCAGAGCATAGGCTGCCTAGGTCGGTGGTGCTTGGTATGGCCCTCTTAGTCTTGTGTACACCTGCCCCCTTATGGCCCGTTATATGGTATATATACACACAGGGATATGGTAGTGCGACTACCCATCGTAAGAACTCATGTATATAGCTGAAAGTCAAACAACTTAGTGTCAATGTACAGCAATATGACCAAATATTTTTGAGGGAATGCCATCATGGCTAGCCAGCAATATGACCAATTTGTAACATGAAATTCAGTAGGATAGAACATCCAACACTAAGTGAACATTTACGTCTATCCCCAAAACTTGCAAAATTCCAGTATTCGAAACAGGCCCTGATTTAGTTTATTGAGGCTGAGCAATCCTATGTCAATAAATCATCAATATACATAGGTAAATCAGTCTTCCATAAATAAATATTAGTCAAAAATAGTACAGAGGCAGCAGTTGTTATGAATAGCACCCCTTTTACTCTTTCAGAGTATATCAAGTACTATATGTTTTGGTTTGTATATAACAATTGAAGCCTTTTCAGAGGTAAAGGTGACCAATATCTTTGCAATATCCTTGGGTTAGATGCTTTTGCCGATTTCATCGTAATCCTCAGAAGCTATGCACACTGTTTCCATGTTAAGCTTATATTGTGCGTAACTCAAAAGATTGAAATGGAATTACCAAAGGGCTTAATAGTATTGTGCAACTTAGGGGCTGGATGCTGCTCTTTTGTTAAGCTTATACTGTAAAGGCACTAGCTGCACTTTGCTCTTAAAGTTTCACTTCCTACATTTACCAAAGAAGAGCGAGCTTTGAACAGAACTCTTTTTGCATGTGATAAACAACAATGAGCTGCAAGTGTTACTTACCTCAACTAAGGATGCTCTAATTTTTCATTGTGAAATATATTCAGAGTTGTTTTGACTACCTGACTTACAAAATATACGTAGTGGAATTGTTGGTTAGGCCATCAGTGTCCAGCCCCTATGTTGCACATTCAGCATCTGTGGTTTGTATACGTGGCAAGTAAGCCTAGTAGTAACTGTGGGAGACTGGGCCTAGGAAGTGGTACGGATTAACTGCTGACTGTCGAGTGGCAAGGTGATTGAGCTGCACAACTTGGATCACAATGTTAAGTCTAGAGTACGTGTAACTGGCCAGATAGTTAGAAACGAATTAATGGGAGTGTTTAGATGAGCCATTACTACAAATATAAATCACTTCTGATTCTCTGATTTTTTGTAGGTGGGAGGCTCCTCAGGAACAATATTTGCTTGGGACCTACGCTGGGCACAGCAGCCAATACCACTCTCTGGTGTAGGCCTTGACGAAACGGCACAACCCGTGTGCGAGAGTGAGGTCTGGGAGGTTCTTTTTGACAACTACACACAGTCTTCTGATATTATCTCGTCTGTCTCAACAAGAATATTACCTGTGATGCTGTGCTCAGAGGATGGAATCCTTGCAATCGTCGAACAAGGTGAGACTTTACCCAGAAAGCATTGAATTAATGTGTCTATTGTTGACTTATTCCAATTGCTTATGATATGACAATTTTGTCACTAGATGAGAGGCCTCTTGAATTGCTTGCCGAGCCCTGTGCTATCAACTCCTTTGATATCGATCCTCAGAACCCTTCTGTAAGTTTGTCTGCTCCAGGTTGAAAACAGCAAGATTTTTCCTTCTTTCTTGTACTTGCTTTAATTTTCTCCTTGTGCTTCTACACAGGATGTCGTCTGTGCCCTGGAATGGGAATCGATTGGTGTGCTTACACGTGGAAGAGATGCAATGGCAGAGGAATGAATGCATTCACTCCCCAACAATTCTATTGAATTTCCATGCATAACTTTCTGTGATGGCCCGTGGCGTGACTACTCGAAAAATCAGGGTAAGCATCTTCCGAGGACACTGGCACGCTGTCCTTTTGTTGCTCATCAGCTATCAATGATGGAAGAGGCGTGCTCGGCGTGTATCATTTGCGGTTTTGTGTGAAATCACGGATCGTGTAAAACTTACTGTAACTCTGGATCATACTTAGCTGTGAATTGGTGTTCAGCATAGGTGAAATCGGAAGCTTACTTTTACTGTTCTAGCTCAGAACTTCTGCATACCGAATCTATGCTGTCGTAGTGGAGATGCATGTGATCTTTTGGATCCAGGCAAAGCACACGAATTTGGACCAAACTATTATTCTGTTTTGGTTGGGATGCGCCTGTTCCAAGCAGTAGTGCAGCACTTGGAGGACTCGTGAGAACCGCCAATAGGTGGATTCTCCACCACAAAAAAGTTAACTTAATATCTCATGGATCCGTAGATCCATGTATCAGATATTAAACTGATAAGAACAGATACTACACTTGATTTTAGCCAAGAGGCTGAGAAAGGTATGCTTTGATCGGTGTCCCTGGTTCTGGTTTTATTGCCCTCTGAACCGCCTAATCTCAGCTTCAAAACCGGTATGGGATTATTCCAACGAGTCGAAGCTACTACCTACTCGAAAATTAAATAAAACTGCCGACTCTTATTCTACGTTTGTCGGCCTGCGCTCGTCCAGCCAGCGACGACCCCAACGAGTAGATGACGGCCCAAATGCTGCCTGGCCCAATTTGTCATGACTTTATAATAATCCCAAGTCTTATCTAGCGCTTCAGGCTCCAAATACAGGACCTGGTGCACCCTCGCTGCACTTCCTTCTTAAAACTACAGGAAAAAAGAAGCCCCTGGTTATCTGGTTTCAGTTGGTTTTTGCCTGGTCTTTTCCATTTTCCGTTTATTTTTCCTTTTTCGTTTTGTTTTATTTTTTTCATTTTCTTTACCTTTTCACTTCTTCATTTTCAAATGCATGAATTGTTTTTTCTAAACATCGTTTTTTATTTTTTTTCTCTCAACGTGAAACTTTAGCAAATTTCATGAACTTTTTCCTAAATTTTGATTTTTTAATTCAATCCAATTAATTTTCCCAGGTTCATGATTTTTTTCAGTACTGCAAACTTATTGAAAATTATCAAAATGTCTAATACGTGAATTTTCTCAAATTAGTGATTTTTTCCAAATTCGTGGACTTTTTGCAAATGGACAAACTTTCATAAAAAAATTGAACTTTTTTGTGTTTTTTTAATTTATTAACTCTTTTGAGTACATGATTTTTTTTTGAAATTCATGAACTTTTTCCATGTTCATGAACTTGTTTTGGAATCTGCGAACTTTCCAAGTTCGTGAACGTTTTTTGAAAGTTGAGCCAATGGTCAATGGGTCAAGTCAACAATCAACGGGTCAGTTAGTGGTAATGGATTCGTGATCTTTTTTCCAATTCTTGATTTTTTTGTATTCGCGATTTTTTTCAAATTCATAATTCGTTTCTCAAATGCTGACCCTTTTTTATCCTCGACTGTAATTTTTTCAAAATTTTGTTAAGTCAAGAGTCAACAGGGTCAAACAGTCGGTTGTCCAGGGTCAAACGATCAATGGAGGACTGAGATAGGGATTTTTTTTAGCAGAACTGATCGAACGAGCAATGCTGCTGTCGAGCGATCGAGCGAAGCGAGCTCTCATGCTAATGGGCCGGCCTAAGAGACTGCGCACGTGAGCAGCGGTACAGCAACCGCCCAGAACGCTGGGGCAGATCCTATTTGACGCCCGCAGGCGTTAAAATGATGTGGCTTCGCTGAAGCCTGGCCACCATCGCTCCAGTTTTGGGCCGGCCCACCGTTGCTATGTTTTTTTCTTTTTCCTGTTTCTTTCATTTCTTTTTTCTGTTTCTGTTTCTTTTCTTTTCCTTTTTTACTTTTTGTTTCATTTTTCGTGTATTCTACAGAGTTCATTGCAAGTGTAAAAAAGGGTCTTTGTATGTTAGCCATATATTAAGAAAAGGCTCAACATATTTTTGAAAAATGTTCATTGTGTATTTTAAAAGAATTCAACATATATTCACAAAAAAATAATGTGTAAATATTGTTCAGCGTGTATCACTAAATTTTTAGTGTGTATTTAAATATTGTTCAGCGTATATCATTAAAATGTTTAATGTGTATTTAAATATTGTTCAGTGTATATCACTAAAATGTTCAATGTGTACTTAAATATTTGTTCAGCGGATATCACAAAATGTTCAGTGTGTATTTAAAAAAAATTTCAGCCTATATCACATAATGTTCAATGTATATTTAAAAATTGTTTAGAATTTGAAGTCTCAAAATGTTTGTTCACGTTTTCAATAATTTTTGCGTTTTTAAAGTTTGATCGAATTTATAAATTTCTTCACGATTTTCATTCATTATTCAAAAACTTCATTTTCCCCAAAGAAATGTTGAGAAGTTTGAAAAAAGAAACGGATCTGCCATGTACATAGTACTTTAACTGATCAGCCGATGCAAATTGGTCCTTAAACCCTGGCGCTGCAATCCTAGCACAAACTCGTGTGGTCTATTGGTTTCGAAGAGGTAACCCCTAGCGGGAGGTCACGAGTTCAAGTTCTCACTCTCGCAAATGCTTTCTGTCTAGTTTATTTTTGTGCACCTGAATTCACTAGCTCCGAAAAAGTAAGGCAGATGGCCTCTCCTCTCCCCCCTCTCTCCCCTGTGGCGAAGCCACCCGTCCCCTCCTCCCCTCCGGCGGCGACCTCGCCTCATGCGACCTCCCCCTCTCCTTCTTCCCCGCGGTCTTCTCCCTGCTCCTCCTCGGCGGCGCGCCCTGATCCCTCCTCCCCCTGGCTTCCTCGCCTCGCTCCGTCCTCCGCGCTCCCCTCGGGCCAAGAGGTTTTGGGCGCTGGATTCGGATGGCTCTGGGTCGGACTCTGAGGCGCCCCCTTCCCCTCCTCGTCCGGTACCTGCGGCGGCCTTCCCGTGGCTTCGGCGTAGGGCCGTCGGCGAAAATTCGCTCCTGGCGGGCGGGGTCGGTTCGTCGGGCCCGTGGTGGAGGCGGATGGCTGGCGCCGTGTTTCC